ACCTCTATATAACGAAGTCCTCGGAATAACGAACGATACTCTTTAGCCCTGCTAAAGTTGCAGTAAAATGTATTGGAAAGAACCTCGATATAACGAAGCCTCGATATAACGAATCAGTTTCCCAGTCCCTTGGCACTTCGTTGAATCGAGGTTCCACTATATAAAGTTACACGAGCTTGTTGTGAGCTGTTGATGAGAGATATTCGGCATTCTCTCGATACTACTCTTTCGCTGGCCCTTATGGTTATTCCTGGCAGCCAACACTCTGAGTTCAATTTCATCGGTTTTGTAATTAAGCGTAGGCAGGACAGGAAAGAGTAAAAATAAACATATTTGTTGCTGTTGTTGTTGTTATTGTTGCAGCTATCGATACCCACCTCTAGGCTTGCAGGTCAGTCCATTGCCAATGTATTCTGACCTACAGGTGCACTTATAACCGCCTACAGTATTCTGGCAAGTGGCGTCTCTATGGCAATTGTGAGATCCGTCTGCGCACTCGTTGATTTCTTGAATAACAGGGATAAATTCCCAAATATTACTGCAACTCACATAGTAACAACTCTTATGATTACAGACAGAGATGATAGCCTCTTACAACAAAACAAAAATAAACCAAGAAGCAGAAAAGTCATTTTAAATCAGTGCTGCTAGACCTAGACAAGGTAAAGCCTGCACACCAGCCTAGAGGACCATTCAGCTGGAGCTCCTTGCGGTTGCTGCAGGAAGAGGCGACAAGAAGTATTGCTAATCTCAAAAAGTTATCCATAAGTATTTTGTTGGACTTCCATAACAACGTGAACTCTCCGGTACACATTTATACACCTGATGATGACTTTAATTTTACGGCTAACGATTAAAATTTTGTCCTCAATGTTTGACAGGAAAATTTTAACGATTAAGTTTATTTACGATTAACGGTACGATTAACACAATTAATACGATTAAAAGTATCCCACGAGCTGCCAATTTGGATAAATAAGATTCTTTTTCACTGAAGACTCTATGTCAAAGGAAAAAAATACATTTTCATTTTACAGATCTCATATTTACGAAGGTTCTCTCACCTTTGCAATTGTTTCTCCCGTCTCCTTGAAATCCTGGTTTACAACTGCAGATGTAGGATCCTTCAGTATTTAGGCAA